ATATATCTATATATATATAAATAAAACACACACACATATATGAAAGCTGAGTAATGTGATGTAACTGTGTTTATAAGGTAGCAAACAGCACAGCTGGTAAAAGCGCTGGTGAGTGGCTAAAAGTCACCACTGTGTGACGGGTTGTAACAGCAAAATCCTGTGTGTGGGTAAAACCAGATGAGGACTAAAAAGCAAAAAGAAACGGGAGCAAGGTGACACAAAAAGAAAAGCTAATTGCATTTGTGGACCCTGGGTCTGAAAGAAGAGAAGGTGAGGAGGGAGGGAGAGAAGAGAGGAGTGGGACTGACGCTCCCTCAGACGGACAGCGACACGAAGCTGTTGTACTGTTGGATGTTGCGTTTGAGTATGTCCGAACACGGGCCCAGGACGCGCTCGAAACGAGGCCGGTCCAGCTTGACGCACTTCAGGGGGCCCCGGGCGACCACCGTGGCAGCGCGGGGACGGTTCATGAGCAGAGCGATTTCACCTGGAAAACACACACGAAAAAACAAACCACCTTCAGCTCACAAAAACAACCCAAAAAAAATCTATTTGCGATTATTTAACGTTATTTTTAGACACAATCATACATCACACCTTCTCCACATTTTGCCAACTATTGCCCGAGAACAGAATATTAATTAGATGTTGTGAATAATTATTACTCTAATTCTTACCAAAGTAATCTGATGGTCCCAATCTTCCCACTTCAACAAACTCTTCATTCTCTGAGCGCCGCTGCAAAACAGCCGCAGATCCCTGGAAAACACACACACACTATTGTTTTCAGTTCATCCTCTAAGGTTACGTTCATTCTGCACATCTTAACGCTCAATTCTACTTATTTATTGCTGCAATCAGATGGTTTTTGCGTGGTCGTTCACTTTATAATTTAAATGCGACCGCATGTGCAGCAGAAGTGACATCACATGTAGAAACGTCTTTATGGAAGCACATATGGATGCTACACGTTAGCAGGTGTGCTTGATTCTGAAGATGTTGTACTGYTGGAACCAACTACATTATTAGCAACCATGTTTGTTTCTTCTATTGTCTACATTTGATCTTGCCACTTCTTGTCAACTCCAGCACAGAACTGCACCTCAGGAACTAAGGCCATGTACAGAAAGATACAAACTCTGATACGATTTTACATCAATGTTGATATCATATGTTAATTCATGTGTTCGTGTAGATTATTAGTCATCCATGGCATGGAATACTAAAATAATTTTGAAAATAAAAAATAAAAAAAAATCTCAAACTGGATTTATATTTTGTATTTGTTCAGGGTTTCTGCAGGTTTCACCATCTCTTTAAGACCATAAGAATAAAATTCATGGCCTATACCACAACAGAAATTTACTAAAGAAATGCCTTAAACTCAGGTGGCACAGTCGGTAATAGGGGTGTAARAAAATATCGATACACTGAAATATCGCGATATTTCATTTCCCGAAACTGTATCGATATTCTAAAGCCCTGTATCGATTTTTTATTAAGGTTTAAAATGTAAACTTTCCTGCCAGCTATTCATTTTTATGTT